ATTATTATCATTAGTATCATTATTATCATTATTATCATTATTATCAGTATTATCAGTATTATCGTTATTATCGTTATTATCGTTATTATCGTTATTATCGTTATTATCGTTATTATCGTTATTATCGTTATTATGCGTCAATCCCCGCAGCACTATTCTGCCGTTATTTGGGTTGGCTGAGTAGAGCTGGTGGCTAGATTGATGTGAGGGGTTCCCGTTATACCCTGAATCTGGTTTGTTGAACGCCACCTGTAGCCTATCAATCTTTTGATCTTTTCCCTGAATCGTTCGTTGATCAGGGCATATACAAAAGGATTGATGGCAGAATTGAACAAGATCATCACGGCAGCAATTGCCCAGGTGACATCACTTGGGCTGCTGGTGGTACTATGGTAGCTTAACAGGAAGATAACTGCGTCAGTCATCCAACAGATCGAGAAGATGACGCTGACGGTAACAGCGGTCAAGGTTACGCGCTTCCGTATTTTAAGTACCCCCTGAAAGTAAACAAAAATGCAGCGTCGGGTTGTTAATCATGTCATTTCATCCTTACATTAGTCTTGTATTTTCAACGCATGGCTCAAGCTAATTGGTAAAACGCGAATCTTGACCCTCACTGATGCACTGAACCCACCGGGTTGCGAATTTTGCTTTGTTATGTTCCTCTCAATATGCTTCGCCTCATTTAAGCGATGCTAATAACGTTAAATGAAATAAGTGTGTAACGACCTCTGGTCATACCTGTTGTTGATAGGAAAGTTCGTGTTGTTGATTGCGTGTAAACCACAAATCGTACACCACCGTGGAGTACAAAACAGCCATTAATGGTATGGGAAGACCTCCAAACACCAAAAACCACACCACGCTGAAAGCTTTTCCCATCCACTCTTCAGGAAACACCAAAGTACAAATGGAAAGAGTCCCGTCATAATCCGAACTCAGGAATCCGGGCATTTCCATAATCAGTGCAAAGATCCAAGAAGCGGGAATGATAACCTAAAATATAATGGGCATCTATAGATATTCCCTCTCACGGATGAATAATATCCATAAGAGAGGTGATCTTACTCAAATTATTTTTAGGCATGGTACCCAGTCGTTCGCGATCAGAAAACAATTTACCACCCCCTTGAGGTAGATTAAAAAATGAATAAATCAATAATGAAATAAACCTCTTAATAATAAATTATCAAAACAATAAAAATAAAAATTTCTTACAAGCTTACTTTCGCAATCAAAACACTTTCTTGGACGGTTTTGGGGACAAAAATAATGCATATTAAGAATATAAGAGGCAGTCTTTTCCCAACAATATGATAATGTGAATTGCTCTCAAACTTCTTTCAAGCGCAATCTACTGAACCATTAAAAACAACTCAGTAATTTAGGTATCATTTTTCACCTTCAGTTTGGAATAAGTAAGTTTCCCTTTGTTACCGTAAGGGTAATTCACGGCGTAGTATCGTTCAATGGCGATAACAACCAGAGTGAATGCGGAACAGGCACCTCCAACCCAAGCGAAGCTTCCACCTGTGACTAGACTGCATAAAACCCGACCGGCGACGCCATCTGGGTGGGTGAACGTGTGGATAAAAATGTGGAATGGCAAAAAAAAGATTGCCACCATCATATCCGCCACGGCCAGGTTTACTAGAAGATAGTTGAAAGGAATCCTGTGGAATATCAGAAGGTAGGTATAGTTCCAGTGCTAAGGCATGGATTTCATAATATACAGCACTACATTGCGCGTGACATAGCTGTTAATAAGGACTAAGACACCCAAAATATGAGGTAAAATAAGAAATTTTAAGTCTTGCCCACGGGACACACACCGATGGATTTTTGAAACCCAACAACCGGTACAAAAGTGCGACCCAGTGAAATGCTGTAAGCGTTGGCTATTGATTCTTTTTTACTTTCTGTTTTTTTTTTGTTTGTCTCTTTAGATTGTTACTTGGCGCGTTTGCTTTTGATCAATGAAAAGGATGCGGACTTTATTTAAAATACATAAATATGATTATAAAAATACTACCAGGAACGGATCCAGGATTTTTCTTAGGTGGGGTGCACCACTAAGGAATGGCGTAACTGAGAATTCCAGTTACATTAGAAAGCCGCAGTCATTTCAGGGGTGGGGGATGCTCATCCCCTGCACCCTCTCCCGAGATCCACCATTGACTTATAAAAGTTACATCCATCTATTTAGACTGTTAATTATCGACCTACCTCATGTCTTGATTCCTTGTAGTAACAACACAAACAAGGGAGTTTCCAGTGATGTCGACGATGGCAAGAATAGAAAGTATTGCGATTATGACAACCTGAGATGGTTCAGAAATCATGATCTATGGAGCATTAAAAGCTTGAAAATCTGGGGAAAAAATAAAACAGAGCGAATATAAATATTGCACCAATATCGTTAGTTTTTACTTGTTTATAGAAAATTTTAGTAAAATTATTGACAATATGAAGTTAACAAAAATTCCATTAAACCTAACGTTAACGCAAAAATAATAGTTCGAATTCATGTGAATGGGTACATCGTCCTGAGATGGGGATTTGTCGTCGCTTACGGGTGTAAATCAAGGATTTTGGTCTCACTTATGGTGCCCAGGACGCAATGCTACTATTTTTAGCCGTCAATGTATCTTTTAAGGGACAAATAGAGCTTGAGCAACACCCAGTTTACTCTCCTTTGGAGATTTAATTGCAATTTTTGATCAGTTTTCTTCGATTTCATTGTTTTCTCTTAAACTCAGTGAGTCTCCAAATATTGGTAAAATTCAAGAGCCGTAAAGATTTTCGAAAACAGCCTTTATTACAAAATCCAAAGAATATATTACCTGTATTAATGTATAATCCCTCAGACTTACAATCAAGACCATAATTATGCAATTAGCATATATTCTTTGTAAATAAGATTAGTATCTTTCTCAATTATGATTCGTTGAAAACTAAAGAACAAGATGAACTGCGCAGATATTGCAACGATTTCTTCCCAAAATCAGGAACAGAAATGGAAATTCTTAAAATGATCAAATTAAATTCATCTTTGTGTTTTGTCTCTACAAAATCAAATTTGTCGAAAGGAGAACTGTCATTGAGTATAAGCCGTGTGGTCAATACTTAACTTGTTTAGTGCTTTGAGTCTGTGTATTCAGTCATAAAGGTGGTAAGAGCTTTCTTACCAAAATAGGCCAAACGCATGAAATATAAACTGAAGAAACTCGTTTACAACGAGGAGAAACCAAGATATATCCTTTACCCTAAAAGTACAATATTACAAAGAGATAACCGAAACGAAACGAAAACAACGTAACAACCTGACCACCAAGACAGAGGTATTTCGATTTCAACCAATGCTGATTTACCAGCTTTAGACAGATGAACACGAAGATAACCTCGAGCACGGCGAATTTTTCAAAGGTGAGAATTTTTGCGGTTTTGTCCGGCCAATACTAAAGACAGCTCACGTTAAAGTTACCTCAACGCCGTCTAAACTAAGCTGCTTTCTTGTTTTGCTTGTTGTTAGATCCTACTGGCCAAAGAAATACCCTAAGAAGGACACCGCGACATTCCCTTGCACGGCAAAGCTCACTTTCGGCCCATCTGTTTCTTCGGTTGTGTTGTTTTTGGGCGTTCGTTCGCTCTGTGATAGTCTGCTTCATTTCTCAAAATATAAGTCTGAGAAAGTTCTTGAAAGGGTCAAATAGTAGTGTTACTTAGGTTCCGCTACTCTTTAGTAAAGTAGCTTAAAGCGTTTATTTGACATTCTCAAGAACATTTCTCTAAATATAAGCCTGAAAAAGTTCTTGGATGGGTTAAATG